GGTACACAGTTTTTACATCTAAGACTTCGCGTTATGATTGAAGGAAAAGGTGTGACTTGTTTATTCTCTCTCTCTCTCTCTCTGTTTCTCTCTCTCTCTCTCTCTCTCTCTCTCTCTCTCTCTCTCTCTCTCTCTCTGCATTTCTGCTATTTCCCTTCAAGACGTGGGCGATCATAACTCACCGAAATTTTCTGTAATTTGGTGCTCTCAGCCATACTTTATCCTCTCAAATCAATCTTTCTTTGAGCGACATATTCTTTCATCCGTTTGCGCAAATTTGTCAAGTTGGTTTCGAGCCCGTTTCTTTTTGCTTATATTAGCATCACCTTTGTTTAAACTTGTGAATAAGAGAGTTGCATGATTTCCACTGGCACCAGAGACTGTTCTACCAACCTATGTTAATATCAGTACTTTATAAACCAATTTTCAAGGATGGCCAGCCGTTATACTTTTGCTATTGTTTCAAAGTTAGTTTTATTATCAGATGTCATGCCGGGTGTGACCTGAGATTAGATGGTACAATCATTGATACCACCACTCTTGATCTCACTTATTATACACCTACCATCTTTTTATGTGTCATGGTGCCTACCTAGACCGACAGAATGAACTCCTCCGAACGATATATATATATTATATTCTTACGTTCTTATATGTTTCCGTTAAGCTAATTTTTCTTGTTGACAAAGTTTGCAGATGTTACTGTGATTGTTGTAAGGTTTTGCTTTTTGAAAGTTTTCCAGTTTACAATAGGATCTTTTTTATTTTTATTTTTTTTTTGTTGTTGTTGTACTAATGATAACAGTGAAATATGCAATTGTAGAAATAAAAGTAGACGTCCATTAGATAGAGCTTGCAAAACAAAAGAAGTAATTTACAAAGCAGAAGTAATAGATAGAAATAGCCAGAAAGATATACATAGGGTGTACTGAGGGTAGTTTAAGAAGAGGTTGTACAATCACAAGTCATCTCTTAAGTTAGAAAGTTTTAGGTTTACTAGACTAGCCAACTATGTGAGGGAATTAAAGGAAAAAATAAAAAAAGATACGATTGTAAATTGGAAAATTTTAAAAAAGCAAAACCTTACAAAAATTACAGTAACATCTGCAACCTTGTCAACGAGAAAAATAGCTATAATAACATTTATAGAACAAAAAAAAACTTTTGAATCAGAGATCGGAAATTATGACCTGTTGTATACATATTAAAAAGTTCTTTTTGATTTCATATGAAGTAGAATGAAAATAAATCCCCCACCGATACATTTCCAATACACTTGATTTCCTCCTGCTTCTCCTCTTCTTTCTTACCTTCTACCACACCCCACGTCGTGCGCTTATTTATTTATTTATTTATGTATCTATTTTTAAAAAATATAGCATTCATAATTTTTCTTCTTAAAAAAAAAATAAAGCGTTAGGAAATCAATTGACCAAAATCGACTGAAGATGCCGAAAAGATTGAAACCAGGGTAGCGAAATCGGCTGTTCTTAATTTTTTTTATACTTAAAAGCTCTACATGTTAAATTTTTATCTTTTTATATGTGTACTGAGCATTTTTAAATGCTACTGTTTCCTGGTCTAATTCAACTCTGATCATTAACTTTTTTTTATTATATATATATATATATATATATATATATGTGTGTGTGTGTGTGTGTGTGTGTGTGTGTGTGCGTGTGCGTGCGTGTGTGTGTGTGCGTGCGTTTGTGTGTGTGCGCGTGCGTGTGTGTGTGTGTGTGCGTGTGTGTGTGATTTCACTTGCGGATATACATGCCTAGTTTTTTTTTACTAATCTTTATATGTTTTTCATTTCTTCGCACAACAGTTTTCTACTTCTGAATGTGGAGAACATACGCGTCTGTCTAACAATCGATATCTCTTGTTAATGTCTCTGAATATCGTCTATTCAACAAAACCTTTACAACGTTACAACAGTCAAAAGACTAAAGAAATTCTGTTTGCGTTGACTAATAACGAGACCCAAAAATATACATACTCATTTTTCCTGAGTTTGTAACTTGATTCCTATTCGTATATTTCTTGCTTTTACCCTGCAAACCTTTCAACAAATGTAGACTCTCGAACCATTTTTCCCCCAATATTCTATTTTTTTCTAAAGTCATCGGAATCGATAGAATTCATATTGATACTGTCTCTCCAAATTTCATGAATGCTCTTTCTTTGTAAGTACATAAAACCTTCATAAAGAACAATGTCATTAGCTGTTAAAATGTCTTCTTATTCTTTTAGTGGGGTGCTAAACATGACCGTTCGTTAGCCATCATCGTAGCATTCCTTTAGGCTGTAAATGAATTATAAAAACAACGGGTTAGCCTTCATCGTAGCATTCCTTTAGGCTGTAAATGAATTATAAAAACAACAGTAGAAAACCGGAATTTGTTTTAAAAATTGGTTTAACAAGTTTATTACTTTTTGGTACAGGGGAACATAATGTAGAATAGAAACTAAAGAAGAGAATGCTTAGCCGTGAATGACTGTTTTCAACAAAGACTGCTACTGCTACCGCCCCTCCTGCTATTCCTCTTGATGTAGGAGTCTTTTTTTCCGACGGCCGAGTCCAAACTTGTAGGGAAATTTTCTCCCTCACAACACTTTATAATTAAGATTTTCAGTGCAGACCCAACAAATTTTTACCTGTAAATTCTCTAACTAGGCCAGTTTGGAGGTGTTGCTTTTCAAAACAAGAAAAATAAACTATCGTTACTTCGTTTTACCAGTAGATCTACTTTAAATGCCAAATAGCTTTAGCAGATAGATGACAACGCATTCCCGTCCCAGAAAATACTTTTGAAAAGTGGAAATGCATTGTTCAAAGTAAGGGTGCTATCAGTGCAACCGTCTTGGACTGTATTCTTTGGTGTTGCCCCTCACCTAGGATTCATATTATTAATAAAAGATTTTCTTCGATATTTTTCTGGGTTTTTTTTAAAGGTATATTTGTTTTGATTTTTCTTTTCTTTCAAAATGAGAAACACTGATTTTAATTATTCCTTAATAAATAAACGTTCTACCGATCGTCGTGTTTACGGAATCTCCTTGTGAACTGAGTGAGAAACGCTTTCAGATTTTATTTATATTTCTAAATCTTAGCTTTCCCCAAGGCCAAATGCGGCGAGTAGAAATAGGAAGATTGTATTTCACCAAACCGCAAGGCAGGAAAATCATTCTTGATTTGAAATTCAACATTCTAAAATGTAAACTTTACCTTAGATTGAACACTGAGAAATAACTTGCTATCTTTACTCCAAGCCTAACTGGCATTATTCTACCAAAAATCCATTCGATATTCCACAAAACATATTCGCAATAAAAAAATTGCTCTTCATATTTTCTTGACACGAGGCGATTCCCTTAAGATTTCATAAACTTTTCATTTCAATTTATATAAATAGTCAGTTATGTGCCAGGCCTGATACACGATTAGGCGATCATGTATCTTTCGATACATGACTGACGAGGCAGATTTTTTCCGCATTAGGTTGCCATTTCTTTCTGCGGCAGGCCAATTACCATCCAAGGCTATAGAACCCGGTCTGCCCCGCTATTTACCCATAGCTGGGAGGGAAGAAGAAGAGGATTCATACCTTTCCCAATTAGCACGTAAGTGAATGTAATGGATTCGAATGGAATTCGAACTCGGCTCTCCGATTCCGAATTCCAGTTGAATCCATTACATTCACTTAGGTGCTAATACCCTTGGAAAAGCTATGAATCCTCTTCTTCTCCCCCAGCTATAAATGTATAAATTATTATATATAATATATAAATTATTATTTATTGTATAATATATAAATTATTATATATTATATGATATTGTAGTGAACGTGTGTGGGATCTGCCGGGGAGGGATTGCCAAAAAGTAGTCAGCAAAACTCTTATAGCGACTTACCTCGTCAACCCAAGCGACAGCGCGTCGCGTGTATTCTGTGACGAAAAAGAAACAAGTCCGTCGCAGGAGTCGCTATAAGAGTATATTAATATGCAAATTACGGAGCATCCTATCCCGGCTGTCGACGAATGAAAAAAATAGGTTCTGCCGATAAAAGCAGTTGGTGTTGTTGACTCGGGGAAGGAAAATTCGGGCAGTTTTGGCTACGGCGTTCGTGAGTTATTTTCCTGACGTGTTACAAGTGATTTTCTTTCTTTGTGTTGTGAAAGCCACAAATTTGCTTTGAGAACGCTTACTCTTCAGATATATAAATTATTATACATTATATATAGATATATAAATACTAGATTTAGAAAATAAAATCGATTTCAAATTCTGAAGTTGCCAATGAATATTTCTTTCACTTTAATGGTCTTAACTAAAAAGAAAAAGTCGCCAGTTATCTTGAACATACTCATGGTCAGCTGCCATAGTGAATACAGAAGATGAAAGGTATCGTGCTCCCAATTGATATACATCTCTAAAATGAGGCTTAACTACAAACTGCCGACCACACTTTGAAATGATTAGCTTATTGAGAATTTGTTACTCAACGAATGCATTCCAAAAGATGATTTTATTTGAAATATTGTTATGAAAAATCTTGTATTCTTTCCTTTTTCTCTTATTTTTTTTCTTTCTGACTTTTTTTCACTTTCATTGTCGACCTTCTTTTTGTTTTTCTACAAAATAATCTTTGAGAATTAAAGCTTCTATACTTTCTGGGCAAGTTGCACTTCCATCAGAATCGTTCTGACTTGACAGGATTGGTTGATTGATTCGTTTTTTACGGCTTATCAACCCTTTGCAGGTTATTTAGATTTGTAGATTTAGAATTTTAGATTGTAAGAATTTTTTGAGATAATAATGATTTACGAATATAAGCCTTACTAATTAACCCATAGCTTGGGAGAGAAGTGATGGATTCATACATTCTCCAATGATATTTGCGCGTAAGTGAATATAACGAACACAATGAGGACTGGATCATGGCTCTTCGATTAACAATTCCGAACCGTTAACCATTACACTAACCGCACATCCAATCTTACAGCACTTGGTTTTCCCAGGCAGTCACCAGGTACTGACCTGAATCGACGTTGCTTAACTTCGGTGATCGTACGAGAACCGGTGTTTCAACGTGATGTGGCCGTAATCCTGACGTAACAAGAGATTAGAAGCATTATATAGATTAAGATGTACCAACTGTGACCACTATATAGACATCAAAGTGTCAAATGTTTATTTTATGGCACGTTGATGCATATGTAGTGGTTATAGTAGGTACATCGACGTCTATATAAATAATAGTCGTTATTTTAACTCTTCTTTTACTTCCGTGTAGGCATTGTTGAAACGTCAAATTTTTCTAGAATTTCTTCAACCTCCTCCTCCTCCTCCATCGACTCCTCCTCCTCCTCCTCCATCGACTCCTCCTCCTCCTCCTCCATCGACTCCTCCTCCTCCTCCATCGACTTGTTAACAAATGAATAAAAAATAATAATTCGATCAATGATTTATCCTTCTTGGAGGATTTATCAAAAACAAATTACTGCGATGTTTTATTCTTTAAGTAGATGTAGTTACAGATCACGCAACAGAGGCAAATATGACAAGATCATTATGATTATCATCATCTTAAAGGGGGACAACTCATCCTGAAAAAGTTAGCAATCTTACTTGCGATTAGCATATACCTGAGGTTGAACGATTTCATTTTCTTCATTATCCACATATTCTCTCTCTCTCTCCCTCTCTCTCTCTCCCTCTCTCTCTCTCTCTCACACACACACACACACACACACACACACTCTTTCAATCTTTACCTCCGCCTCCTACTGTATCTGCCCCGGGCGTCGCTTTTTTTTTTTTTATCAAGTACCACTTCTGATTCAAATGCAACCGTGACCAAAGCAACAATAACACACTCCAAGCAATATAAACATTAACCATATGTTTAGATACGTCGACCTTTGCTGCTAAAAGTGAGGTGAGACACTGAGCGTGCCTGTGGGACACTGAGCGTGCCTGTGGGGCCCCGACATGCACAGTGAGCAACCAGCATAAAACAATAATTAGTAAACAAGATCCGCAAGATACAATACTTTAACATAGTGATTTCTATCATCACGCGGTGCTAAGTGTTGACATCCTTGTGCCAGACTAAAGTCAGCTCTCTAAATACTTGATCGACTCCTATAGAACAATAGTCAGCAAGATAGATTTTTGCCACTGTAGCGGTTTTGATCCTCACTGGGTGCTCTAACATTGTGGCATTTACCAGATTAAATAGCGATATATACGATCACCAAAAAGCCTATTTAATAGAAAATTGGCCTACAACACCACCACAAGTTGAACCAGATAGATAGATAGATAGATAGATAGATAGATAGATAGATAGATAGATAGATAATGAGCAGAGTGAGATAGATAGATAGATAGATAGATAGATAGATAGATAGATAGATAGATGAATAGATAGATAGATAGATAGATAGATAGATAGATGATAGATAGATAGATGAATAGATGATAGATAGATGAATAGATATGAATCGGCTTCGATAGATAGATAGATAGATAGATAGATAGATGAATGAATGATAGATAGATATGAATCAGAGTAGATAGATAGATAGATGAATAGATAGATAGATAGATAATGATAGACCGCGATAGATAGATAGATGAATAGATGATCCTAGATAGATAGATAGATAGATAATGATAGCGATGATAGATAGATAGATAGATAGATAGATAGATAGATAGATAGATAGATAGATAGATAGATAATGAGCAGGCCGCGATAGATGAGATAGATAGATAGATAGATAGATAGATAGATAGATAGATAGATAGATAGATAATGAGCAGACCGCGATAGATAGATAGATAGATAGATAGATAGATAGATAGATAGATAGATAGATAATGAGCAGACCGCGATAGATAGATAGATAGATAGATAGATAGATAGATAGATAGATAGATAGATAGATAGATAGAGCGACAGAGCGATAGATAGATAGATAGATAGATAGATAGATAGATAGATAGATAGATAGATAGATAGATAGATAGATAGATAGATAGATCGATAGATAGATAGATAGATAGATAGATAGATAGATGAATAGATAGATAGATAGATAGATAGATAGATAGATGAATAATGAGCAGACCGCGATAGATAGATGAATGAATAGATAGATAGATAGATAGATAGATAGATAGATAGATAATGATAGACCGATAGATAGATGAATAGATAGATAGATAGATAGATAGATAGATAGATAATGATAGACCAGATAGATAGATAGATAGATGATAGATAGATAGATAGATAGATAGATAGATAGATAGATAGATAGATAAATGAGCAGATAGATAGATAGATAGATAGATAGATAGATAGATAGATAGATAGATAGATAGATAGATAGATATGAATCGGCTTCGATAGATAGATAGATAGATAGATAGATAGATAGATAGATAGATAGATAGATAATGAGCAGACCGCGATAGATAGATAGATAGATAGATAGATAGATAGATAGATAGATAGATAGATAGATAGATAGATAGTAAAACAACTTAACAAAAGAAAGAACTGAATGTTTCACTGTCGCTAAAGAAAAGCAAAAAATGAGAAAAGATAAATGATCACGCATTAAAAAAATATCACAGAAAAAGCATTCTTCACATTTCGCTCGGAAGCTGATTAATATTTGCCACCCGACCATTTGATGTGATGGACTGAATGACACTCGACCGTCATGGGTTCAGTGTCACGAGGCTGTGATGAGGTTAGAAGCTCGAGGCAATAATGTGGCCAGTGTCTCAAAACAACGATTATGCACGAAATGACAGCAAATGTGTGAGAAAAGAATAAATTGTGCAATAAAAAGCAACGGACATTTAACAGGATCGTAGACGAATTTTCTTTTCTTTTAAGCTAAATCATACTTTGCTGTCTACGTGTAAACGTTACAGGCAATCTGAGTGGATGTGAAATTCGTTAGAATCTTTTTGTTGTTATAAGTATTTTAAAATTGTTTCTCTTGCAAGCATCTTCATATATCCAGTTCATGCCTTCTTCTGCTTTTTCTTCTTGTATACGTTGTGTTCTGCAGGGCGTAAACGATGATGGATCTCTACAATTTCCTGTTCTTTTTAGCTCTTAGCAATGTTTCCATTTTTATCTTTCCTAAAAATTGCTCCGCTAAGTAGGTTATTCGTTGTTTTCCTCTGTCCTCCTTGCCTTCAATCTATCTTGTGAGTATGAAAATTTCCAAGTCCTCTTTCCTCATTATGTGCACGAGAAACTTCAATTGGTTTGGTTTGTTTTACGACATATCAACCTCAATGGGTTATTTAATACCGACAAAATTTTCATTGTTGCTAATATTTTTCCTTCAAAAAACCTATTTCTGGTAATATTTTTACCTTCAAAAATATATTTCTGGTAATAATTTTCCTCCGTTGGTAATATATGTTTTTTAAAAATGTATTTTTGGTAATAATTCTTTTACAAAGTATTTCTGATATTAAAACCTATTTTTACACTTTTATAATGTTTTGACCCAGTTTAGAGGTATTTGCCTATTTGCCGATAGCTGGGACCCTAACAGGTCAGGATGGAGCTGGGAACATCAGCAACTAAGAGGTGGTTCCACGCTTCTCAAAAACTTTCTGATCCGAGGCCTTGCTGTTGGACGTAGTTTATCGCCTTACCCAGGACGCGGATATAGTTTATCGTCATACCAAGGACGGAAAAATATACAAGAATATCATTGCCATTACTATATATATATATATATATATATATATATATATATATCGGTCCAGTTGCCTTGATCTATCCACCGTCCTCATCCTTTCCTCTATCACTTCTATCTGATCTTGCTCCAAATCTTCAGGTAACCCCTTGCGTCCTAGTGGCTTCCCGCCTTGCTTGGGGTGAAACGCTTAAAAAAATAAAATAAAATAAAAAATAATAATCGATAAATGTTATCAGTAAATGTGCAAAAGTTCATATTAATTTTTATTTTATATTATTTTCTTCCCGAATACTTTCAAATGTTGATACATTCGTTTTCAAGGATTGTTCTGTGCAGATTATGCAAATGTATTTTTTAAATTTTAAGCCACTCATTGTTGACATCATTTAACGGGTCAAACTGAAATAGTTATATATATTTTTTTTTAAACACGCTTCAATATACGGTCCATTATCTAATGTTGGCTGCTTCTCTTTTATTACAAGAACATCCAGAATGTTGAATCTTTGAAAAGCACTGGGAAAAAATAATAGGGCAAAAAGAATTTTTATTTAATGACGACAAAATTTTTATTGCTAGTAATGTTTTTCTTCAAAATTCTATTTCTGGGAATATTTTTCTTTGAAGAAATCTATAGCTGGTCATATTTTTTTCAAAGAATGTATAGCTATTTATATTGCTGGTATTTTTTTTAAAGTATTGCTGACAATAATTTTTCCTTCAAAAATTATTGCTGCTAATAATATTTTTATTACAAAGTGTTTCTGGTATTAAAACCTATTTTTAAACAAGTTTGGGTGTTAAGTATTTGCCCATAACTGAGACCCTAACAGGCGCTACCACCCCGGGTAAGAGTGGATCTGGAAACACCAGCAATTAAGAGGTGGTTCCACGCTCCTCAAAACCTCCTGATTAGAGGCCTTCCTGCTGGACGTAGTTTATCGTCTTACCCAGGACGCGGATGTAGTTTATCGTCATACCCAGGACGGAAATTTCAACTGGCTTTTCCTGATATTAAATATAAGTGACTACAAACTAAAATGAAAATCAAAGTTGAGAAATCTGCTGAAAGTTATAGTCAAGAATATTTTCGTTGCTATTCAGAGTTGTTGGGACCATTTTGACACGAAGCAATTTGTAAAGATTGTGTAGCTTCGATATTTGATTAAATATACAGAATTTAATTTCGATCGATCAAATTTGGCGCGCGATAACTCTCATAGATTGTAGAGCATAAATGTTCAAATTTAGCCATAAAAGATTAATATTAACGACGAACATTCGTCCACTTTAGGATGATAAGAAAAAAAACTTTTGCTAATCCAAGTGAGTATCGTTGAAGGCAGAAACTTTTAACTGAGA